TATCACGCTGTCATTATACTCATATTTTGGTCTTTAAAGACTTAAGATTCTTATTTTAATAGTTTCATACTTTTTTACTCCTATGCAGAAAGATTTTTTTCAAACACATACTTGTATTTTTGTAACGTCCCAACCTGCATAACCCTGTTCAATGATTTAGCGAATCGAGTTATTACTAATTTGGTATTACATGCACAATATTTTAAAAATATTTAAAATAAGACATTCATTTATATTAATTTAAAACAAATCATATATAGTTTAATGGGAGTAAAATAAATAAACATTGGAGAAGCCTTTAAACAAACATCATCAAAAACATTCTTGGAGTTTAGACAATAAAGTCAATGGAACATTTAATTAAATTTCAAATAGCTTTAGACCATCTTGTTGTGTTGTTCATCTAATCGACACCAGGATACATTATTGGACATAGAGTTAATGTGAAATTACATTTTTAGACATCAAATTAATACCAACATGACAGAAGGTAAAAAAGAACTATTTGTAAAAATATACTCACAAAATGAGGATTACAAAAGTAATATTTGTTAGTTGAAGACTAAATATAGAAAACCCGTTATTCTAGAGGACTAATTATTGAATTTACTCTTTATTATACCCCATTTCACCATTTGTTCCATAAAATTCTTCCCTTTTCATTCTAATTCCCTAAAATACTTTCACTCTCTATCAAAAAACTACTTTTACATCTACTTTTTCATACCCTACCTATCACATCATTTTTTTGTCATTAATAACCAAACCATCACATCTTACTTTTATCCATAACATCAGGGGCAAAATTAAAAGTCAACCAAAATTACACTTTTCTTATTTTGGCCCAAAGCCAAAATGAGAAGGGTTTAAATGAACGGAGGGAGTACGTATAAAATATTTCCAAAATATTATTTTATCTAATTAATATACAATATATATTGTATTTAATTATAAGTCAAAAGTTGAAAATAGTTGACTGAAAAAATTAAAACTGGAGAAATACTTAAGAACGGAGTTTATATGACTATTCAATATTATAAGATTTGTTATATAAATTGTTGTAAGATTATCTCGTCAATATTAATTTCTCAGAAAATCATACTTTTTTTACAAATAAAAAAACAACATATTTATTTATGCAACAACTTTATAAAAAACTTAATACTTATTTTATTTTTAAATATATAAATGAGAGAATTCTTCTTTGGGGTGAGGGGGGGTGCGCGTTTGATTTTTTAAAAAAATATTATTGACTTTATTATAATAAATGGGATAATATTTATTCATATACTTTTTCAATCAAATGACTTCAAAGCATTAAATACATTGTGACATTGTATACCTAATACTTTAGGGGTTTGATTAAAGGATTTAGTTTTGGCAAAAAAATACCGATTAATATAAAGTTGGTAAGTGAATCAGGCAAACAAATCCTTACTACTGGCACATGAATTGTCTCTTAAAATCGGACAAATAGAATGAAGAAAAAGGCATAACATTGATTTTCTTTGTTCTTTAAATACAGGGAATGTTTTTGTAAAGTAACCTTTTTTTTTAATTTAAGAAACGTACTTTGCTATACTTACCTTCCTCCATCATTTAATTATTTCATGAAAAAAGAGGTAAGTGACTTCACTCTTGTGATTAATGAGACATGTGAGTGGCTAAATGATATATTGAAAGTGTAGAGATGGACCTTAAAATATAAAGGTCTCACATTGAGTTCCAAGTGTCCTTTTTTGTATGAGGATATTGATGAAGTTGGAAGAAAAATTTTATTTGGCTTTACATGGTCAAATGAACTATGTTGTACGGAGTAGAGTCTTGACAATTGAAGAATAATAACTCTTGGGAGGGTTTCTCCTACACTGGAAAAGAAACAATAAAGTGTCAAACATATAAGTTCTATGTTCTCTTCTCTTATTGTCAATTGATTTTAAGTTAGAACCCCCATGGACTTATCTGTTAGACCTATCGCGCAAGTGCGCACAAATTGACATGTGTCCTCCACCCCCATGCTATCTTTGGACCCTGGACTTCTATCAATAACGCTTGGAAGCTATGAATGACGACATACAACATATATAGATGAGGATGTTGTAGTGGATATATGTTCATCCCGTGGATATATATAGCTTGTAATGTTACACCACTTTAAGTGGTATAATATTGTGACTCCAGTTGTTTTGGGTACTTACGATGCTCCATTCGTAAAATTGATGGTTCCTACCCCCTAATCCCCTCCCACTAAACCTCTCACCCCATTAATTTCACCCGTCCCACCCTAGTCCCCCTGCACCCCCGAATCGTCGACTTGGGAGGCCCAAATCAGCGATCCAGGGGATGCACCGTAGGTACCCAAAACAAATAATATAATCAAAAAAAAATTAAAAAATCTAATATAATCAAATTATATTAATCCCCCCCTTTAAGTTTCAAACCTTTTGTTTACCAAAGGTCTCCAACATTAATGGATATATCCATTGCGGTTTTAGGAAAAATGAAAAAGAAAGAAAGGGGCACACCTTAAAACTATGACGTTGAAAGGTGCTAGCTTGATTTTATATACTACCATTTTGGTACACTGCTAGATTATATTTTACGTACTACTTTTAAGTACTATCACTATTATACGGAGTATTTTTTATATGTTCTTTTGACCTTGCTGTTGAAACCTCGGGTCATAATATATGACCCGAGACACTTACAGTGCTCCGTTCGTAATATTGATGGTTCATACTCAAGTTATCGATTGTCGCACTTCTAAGCCACTACGGGCAAAACCTCTTCTTCGTCGTTGGCGGGAGTGTGGTCAGCACAACCCCATTCAAATTGAAATTGAAATTGGATTGATAATGTGAAAAAGCTAAGAAAAAACAATTTCAGAGTTGAGAGAGTTTGTGAATATTTGGAAGAGCTGTGACGATGCTAAAATATAGCGGTAAGTCAATAAATTTGACCGAGACTAACTCGGGTTGTCTCACAAGGATTGGCAAAAGGAAGTATTTGCTAATTGTCTTAATATTCTACTTTAAGGCAATTAATCCAGAGCAATCAAGTTCAAAGCAATAGCAGTAAACGATTAATGCAATCAATAATTTAGGAACAGGTATGAATTGAACAAGTATATGGGCTAAAATAATAATTTTAGATTAAATTAGCTTCTTAATTAAATTGATCTCATATCATTAACTTATCCATTTTTTCAGGCCTCATTAATGTGTCTAAATATGGTTGGCTAGATTATTTTTCTTAACTCATAGACAAGCTAGATAAATAATCTCCAAAGATTAATTAATAAATTGGCCAGATCTAGTGAATCTCATTTTAGACAAGTGAATCAAATTAATCAAGTTACTAACTTAATTTTAATTACTAATCTTTAGCACATACCCTTAATTCAATTCATACCTAAGTATTAATTTAGCCACTAAAAGCCATTAATTCATAATTCAAATCAGTATAAAAGATAATTTTATTAATAAAAGAAAGTTTACAAGAAAGCTTACAGATCTTGAAGAATTGAATACAAAGCTCACAATCTTCAAATCAAGACTCTAAGATC